ATGCAGACATGTGTGTATAAACAATGGTAGGCCAACAAGAATGGAAATGAGACCTGGTGATGGAGACACAGCTATTCTTCTTCTTTGCATTCACAGTTGAAAGCTCTCGGGTGTTCGTCCACCTCAAGACTTTAGTCCTGTTTTAGAACCTGAGTGCTGCATGCACGTTCGGGTCACTGCTCTGGCCAATTTGTATGCAGACTTGTGGTTCCTTTCCTCTCAGGCAGATGTACTCCGACTTCGAAGGATGACCATAACTAGTCGACTCTGATGACTCGCTTGTTGGGGAGGCAGTGGATCTATTCTTATTTTCCTTAGTGGGGCCCCGTAACCCACACAGGGAACACAGCTACTGACTTGGTGTTTGTTATCCTTCATCAGTACTGTACACAAAATGAAGTGTGCAAGGCGATCATGGAAATGACCATCTGCCATGTTCAGTCTTGATTTCTAAAGCTAGCAAGATCAGGGCCACAAGAAGGCAGACAGTCTTTTGAGTACGAGAGGACCAATACCCTTCTTGGAGGCCTTTGATATAGGGTATGTAAAAGAACCACCAGCTCTGCTTTTGTACAGCCTCCATGAAGGATCTTAGAAGAGAACAGGTATGGTAAAATGGAGAGCAGCACAGGAACTATTAGTGTAACATGTATACATTGTTACTGTGATAAAACAAGCAGAAGACAGTGGCCAAGATGGCTTAGACTAATAATAGAATTTACCAACAACATTGAAACATTGTAACTAAATTCAAATACGTAAAACCACAATTATAATTTTATTACACAATTCACGTTAAAGTAACCTAAAGCAGACACAATCCAGAAAGCATTTATTCTGCCCTTGCTAAATGCAAAGAAACCATGACATCATGATCTCAAGATTTCTAAAAACAATAAGAATACCGTACAACTAATGCATTATGAAGATTTGCAGCCAAATTAATGGAAATAAATAAGTGGCATCAGGGTTATCAGCAATTAACTGAACGCGGTGAGAAATGAGATCAAAGCAATCGTTGAAGTTAAAATTAATTGAATGTTATGGTACCTGGACACAATAAGCATCCAGAAAAACAAATAATACTGTGGACAAACTGAACCGAGGCCAGACATTCTATGGGTTATCTGCAATTAGTTGAAAGAGGTGAGAAATACGACCAAAGCAATTGCTGAAATTAAAATTATTGTATGTTATGGTACCCTGCGTTGGTTTCGACAGTGGTATCAAGAAAGCCGACCGTCCAGACAGCAATGGCAAACTACTGGACGCAAATTTGCCTACAAAAACCACACAACAGCCAGGGGCTGTTGGGGTTGGTTCTGCAATGTCCTATAAAGGATACGCAACTAACCTATGGTACCTGGACACAGTTAGCATCTAGATACTGTGGACAAATTGAACTGAGCCAAGACAGTCATGCAGATAAATGATCTTGAATCTGTTTTAACACAGATTCATTGAAGAGTGAAAATTGTTTCGGTTTTCATCACTGCATCCATACTATTAGTGGTGTGCACACTACAGACACATTTTTATCAAGATGAGGAACAACAACTGCTTGCTCAAGCAGTTACTGTAAGTAAAAGTAAGTGACAGGATTCTTTTCCAAACTAGGCTTATGGTGTCAGATCTTTCTTTTTTCTTACAGAAACACAGATAGATGTGCTATGTGTGATGTTGAAAATATAATGACGGCCACAATGACTTACTAGGACATTTTCTCAAACCTATTTTAGGCTGGGTCGACCTGGCAGCTCAGATTACTTTTAAGAAATCTGTATTAATGATACTTCTTTTTACTCAGTCATCCTTAAAAGTGTGGGTGGCACATTTTGTTGTGGTCTACAATTAGGCTGAGATATCGGTGCTTTATTAGTATCCTACCTCAAACAAGGGAAATCCACAGGTCACAGGACAGTTTATTATTTCATGGGGTGGTAGATAGGCTGCATGCAGTTGTGGGACCTAGGGTGCATGCATTCATGGGACCTAGGCTGCACTCTCTCGTTGGATGTAGGTGGGCTGGGGTTAGGGCCAGTTCTAGATGTTTTGGGGTTGTTAAAAGAATCAGAAAGCAGGGAAACTCAGTCTCACCACCCTCTAAAATGTTGGACTGTCCTGTGACGTCATCTGGGTTAAGATATTAATAAAGAACCGAGATATCTGCATCTATTGGCGCAGCCCATCAGATTTCAGCAAGTCCCTAATCAGTCATCTGTTGTGCCATGCTTATTAAGGAGCAGTGGGTAGATTCTTTAGTCTCAACTTACTTCAATGCCGCAGACAGAAGAAGAGTTATTTACACATTACAGGGTCTCCGAGTTGAATGGCTGGCTGAACGGTTACAACGTCGAGCTCTCATGTGACCCCCAGTAAAGTCATGGGAATTTTTCTATTGCTGCAAAATTAAACTTCTTAACATCCAATCCATGGCGTCACCACTAGCCATGTAGCCCTAAATCCTCAGGCTCATGACCCCCTTATCTACACTGCCCCAAACGGCCTGTAACGATCCCCAATTTCAACATTTCGGCCCCTGAATAAACTTACTTAAATAGCCCTGCTCTAGATAGTCCGCCATACACAGCAGAGTCAAACAGGCCATTTGTCATGATCCTGGTTGGTGACCTAGTGGCTAGATGCTCGCCTGATGATCCTAAGGACTAGGGTTCAAATCCACAACAGTGAAGTGGAAGTTTTGAAACTGACCTTGGCTTTCAGGTAGATCCAGTCTAAACTGCGTACCACATAATCTCCTGGGAAGTAAAGGTGACTGGTGTAGGGTGCCCCGGCCATCTTGACTGCACTCGAAAAAAACCCATAAATTATCCCATTTTATTTAAATCAAAGCATAAGCTCAAGAATAGGACATACACTTTCAGAACCAATAAAAACATGGCATGTAATTTAAGGAGAGGAACAAGTTTAACTAGACAATATACACACATACAAACAAAAAGGGAAAATATATAGACCTACTCCCTACCTTAGTGGAACTAATAAAAAGCACACTAGAGGAGGAAAAAATGTATTATAATAATTAATTAGTATGGCTTATACAATGTATAGACCTATATATTCTCATGTTCCTAAAACGTAAAGTTTCCTAATGAATAATAATAATAACATCGAGAAAGGTTCGGGGTGGGGGGATTGTCTGTGTGTGTGTTAAGCCGATCTGCTTGAGAAGTTCCGTTTTCAACTGAATATATTATGGTCACCCTAAGCTAGTGGGATGCTGACCACATCAATCATCCAGTGCCCATCATTCTATTATAAATTAGATCTAGCACCATATACCTGTTGTGCCAAAGGCATTTAATTAATTACTTATATGCTCCTGGTTTATTTCTCAGAAATGGAACACGATGGGTGCAACTGTCAGGGAACAGGGTTTGATAAAACAGCTATGCTTTAGTTATACTTCAACTGAAGATGACACAGAAAACACATTCAACAACATCAGCAATTTCCACTTTTGCAGTTAAGTGTCATGGGGAGGAACAGTTTGCGTTCCATTACCTGCTGGGTAGCAATGGCTAGTGTCATTCCGTACTCACGTAGAAGCTCTTTGATGTCACAAATCAATATTCTCCTTAGGCGATCTCTTGCTGTCACATTTTGTTCTCATGTATTGTTTGTACTGGTAGTTGTTTTAGCTGCATTTAAACAAGATAACCAAACCTTTTGATCTTCCGTTTCTCAAGATGAAATTAAGTAGTTGAAACAATACAGGGTTTGGGGGAAAGATGTTGAGTGAGACATTGCAATAGCAAATCTTTGCCTGAATAAATACAATTGATGAGGTTTTGCCTTAGTATATGACAAGACAGAATTGTTTACTGTGTAACTGATGATGAAAAAACTGTTTATGATGAGGCAAACAGGAGTATTATGATGAAATAATAATAAATTATACTCATATGTTTTCGACAGAAAAGTTTCACATTCTAAAACATATAACGCAAATTATGTTGTACAAGTCAACCTGATTAAGTTAGGTTACATTTTTAGCTAATTTGTAGGTTGACCCCCAAACATACGGCTGGCAATCAGTTGCCCAAAACTTCTAATGATCCAGACTTATATGCAGACTTCTTTACATCAGCGGATGAACTGTACTGGTACAGATAAAAGCTTTTCCAGACCCAACGTGCCTCGCCAGACTATTGTCTTGACCTGGCTGCCACAAGATACGAAGATAAGTGATATTGTGTATTTGTGTAGTATTGTCTATTCTATGTTTGTGCTGAAGAAGGCTCCATAGCCGCAATGTTCACGTTTTTTGTGTGTGTTTGTTATTTGGTGAAGCTTTTCGTTCGGTTTTATATCTTTCCTTGGTACAGAAAAACAGTCAGTGTTTTACACTTAGTGTACCAGCAGTTGGACAGGATGTTTGTTGTAGCATCAACAGAATTCTTAATTTTTTTACTATTTTATTTTAATTGATTTCTCAATAATCAGGAGTCACTGTGGCAGAGTGGCTAGACGCTCGCCGCGGATCGGAAGGTCATTGGTTCGCTCCCTGGTGGAGCCAGACTTTTAAAAAAATGACATTGGCTCCCAAATTGACCCGCCTTGAGTGAATACCGGGTGCAGTCCCAGGAAATAAAGGCAGCCGGCGTGATGCTGACCACATCACCCTCCAAGTACGGATTGGTCTATAAAATACAGGTCTAGCCCTATATGCCTAAAGGCGTGGAAAAGGGTCCTTTACTTACTTTTACTTAATAACCAAATATGTTTAGCATACAGTAAGCACTGCACAGTGTTAGGAGTGTTATCCCACTTGTTTATAACCAGCCAATAAAGGTTTGCATGTTATACCCGCCATATAAGTTCACCCCTAGTTTTGGACAGCTTTTTTTAAGGCTTAAAAACTCAACTTATATGCTACAACTTATATTTGTATTAGTTGGTGTTGTACTCATGCCAAAGCGTACAACCACTGTTGTCAGTTAGCATCAAGCTGTAGTGAATAGTGTACTTTGAAATGATTAGATAATCTCCATTTCTTGTCTGTAGCCAGTTTGAGGGTTCCACTGCACAACGCACAGTCTGAACGCTTTAAACAAGATGGCAACCTGTTGAGAGGAAAACCAAGAAAGCAGTCAGATTTTGTGAACAATGAGCAAATTAACTCTGTCGCCCCTAGAAGACTAAAACTAGCCACTTTCAGTTGTGACACAGCCCTGTTAATGCTGATATATTGCCCTTTCTGCAGTGACCTGATTTAAAAAAAAAAAAAAGGATAGTTAAATGCCACTGGTTCTGTGTAAACATGATTGGTGTGTAGGAGGCTCGGATTTGAATATATTAACTGACTATAGTATTTAGGTGAAAACTCCTCTTAATACTACAGTCATTATATTTCTTCATATTTTTCAAAAATAAAAATGTAAAAATCTGAAATATATAAATCTTTACACAATTTATTAGTGACTTCTGTTCTGTAAAGGATTTTTCAGATGTTCCCAGTGGTTCATGAGCCAATTTTTTAAGCATCTGCTGGGTGAAAGGGCTGAAAAAAGCCAAGACAGTGCAGTGGTTAGACGTTTGCCCGACGACCCGAAGGACTTGGGTTCAAATCTGTTTTGAGGATTTTTTTAAATAATTAACCCATCTCAAATGGATTCCAAGAAATGTTCTGCGAAGGCCGCTGGTGTGATATGCTCCCTCCACCCATTGAGTGCCGAGTTATATATATAAAAGAGGGCATAGTACAATGTGGTTGATGTGCCAATAGCATAAGAAACGTCCTTTACTTAGCTTAAATAAACAGCTTACTATATATTACAAAGCAAACATACAAATGACATCAAAACAGAACCAATTACTGGCAGTCTTGCCTCCCTATTTTAAAAGCTGTTTAACATTGCTTTAAAGCAATGAAATCTTTAAACTTTTATGAAGAAAGCAATACTAACCTAGGCCTAATGCCAGTCAGCCAATATGCTGCTAGATTTATGCTATATGGGTGATGTAGTCAATACCACACTGGTCAGCTTTATTTCCCAGAACATTTACGGGTGGCCTAATTTAGGCTGCAATGAGCTGGGAGCCTAAAACATGCAGGCAAGGATTTGCCACTGCGCTATTATGGCTCCCCTCCCATTCTAGGCCAGGGCTATTTAACTAAATTTACTTAGAGGCAAACAATTTTGAAAACAGGTATTGTCACGACCCAGAGGCCTAAGCCTAAGCATAGAAACCAGTTGAATAGCCCTTTTCTAAGCAATGGCATATTTACAAACCTACTTCAAATAAAAACATTACAAGTGTGACAGAAATTGCAATAACAGTGCCATGTTATTATGATATCACCATGTTCATCTGCACCATGATTTCATGCGTTTAACACTCTTGACATCCCTAACAACAATGTCGACAGGTTTCAAGAAAATGGCACGGTTATTGTAATTTCTATCAAACGTTTAATTCTTTTATTTGAAGCTCCAAAGGTGATGTTATAACATTCGGCTGGATCTGACACTTCCAAGCTGGTTGCTATACCTCTAAGATGGATACAGTAACTCTAAGCTGAGGCCAATTGTTCCCAGTGTAGGTTTCAGCCTCCCATTTTATGAAGAGAACAACAAGAAGAGACCCACAACCCACACCTCAGCATGTCATAACAAGTGACTAATTAGGGGCGTTTTCTTTGAAGTTGGAGTGAATTTTCCTGAGAGATGAAGAACCAAGATTCTGTATACAATGAAGCCAGATTTGTAAAATGGATGGTATGTGCACGCAAACCTTAAGTTCTAGAACAACAGAAAAATCCAGAAGTGGATGAACAATCACAACTCTCTACCAGAGTTTATGCTAAGAAAAGGCTAACAGCTCTAAGGTGGATCTAATATTTCCAAAATGGATGCTATAACTCGAAAGCAGCTGTCACCTCTCTAAGGTGGATCTGGTACAGCCAAAGTGAACACTACATCTAAGGTGGATTTACCAGCTCGAAGCTGGATCTAACACTGCCACGATAGATGTCATATTTTAAGACAGATGAGATGCTTCTGAGGTAGATCTAGCAGACATGTGCAGGCAATACATCTAAGCTACTTTAGCCTCTTTATGATGGCTAGAAAATGCACAAAATTAAGCAAACATAAGCAATTATTACCTGTGTCAAAATGTAGCCAAGGAGTTTCACAAGAGGGTCACTGGCCTGATACAGGGCATTAAAGGTATTCCACAGCAATGCAAAAATGGGCTGGATAACTGCATTGAATATTAGGGCCAGGAGAGGCTTCAGCACATAGTCTCCTAAAGCAGTGATGGTGTCCAGCACCAAGAGGCGTACTATATGGTGAGCTATAAATAGGATCAGTTCAGCCACAAACAGGACAAAGATAGATGTAACAATTCGCAGCACTGCAAACACTTCTCTCCATACGCGACGGAATACCTTTTCCATTCTGAGGAAATACAATATAAAGTATAAATAATATATCTCATTATTGTCTTTTTCTTCTTCTTTCTCTACTCCTGGAATGCATTTGAGCGTCAGGCTAGGAAGATATCTCTGGAACGGGTCCTTCTGATCACTTTGTATAAAGTACTTTTCAGTGTCTCTAATATTTCTGCCATCCATATTCGGCATGGTCGACCTCTAGCTCTGCTACCATTGTATCTGTATAGCACTGTTCTCCACAGTGCCCTGTCTGCTACCAATCTTGTTACATGGCTAAACCATTTGGTTTGTTGTCTACCTATGAAGTTCATTATTGGTTCTATGCCAACTCTTCTCCTGATATCATCATTCCTAAGACAATCACTACAGTGAAACTAATAAATGCATCAAACAAATGATAGGTGCACAATTCAAACTGTCACCCATGGGCCTATAAGGGAACAAAAGAACAGCAACAATGCTATCTTCTATATGTGCGGTATGAGGTGGAATGCAGACGTGCTGAACCCCATGTGGTGGTGCATTAGTACTAGGGCTCATAGAGCTATGAGAAGAGTCAAGAGATCCCTCCGCGGTCATCCTAGGAACAGGTTCCCAACCAGGGGGCCTGACCAGCATAGGTAGGCTCGATGTTTCCTTCGCCTAGAAATAGCTGAATAAAGGACTTTCCATCATGGTTTACAGTCAGTTCTTCCTCTGCTTTGCGTTCACTGGCTTTAAACTCCGGGCGGAAAGTTCTGATTGTTCGTCCACTTCTGGATTCTAGTCCTGTTCCAGAAACTGAGTGTTGAGCGCACATCCGTTTCACAGGTCTGACTCATTTGCATGCAGATCATTGGTTCCTTGCTTCTCAGGCAGATGTACTCCGATTTCGAAGGAAGCTGCCATTTAGTTGACTCTTACGACATGCTTGTTGACGAGGCAGTGGGTTTATTCTTGTTTTCCCCACAATGAGGTCCCGGAACCCACACGGGTATTTACAGTCAGTGAATCCAAAGAAGAACAAGAAGAAGAAAAGGAAGAAGCTGCAAAAAGTGGTTAACTCTTTTAGTACCAAGAACTTGTTGCTTAAACTCATTCTGTTACCTATGGATGGAGATTATAACAATCCCTTACAAGATACACCAAAATGTCCTTCTGTACCAGAAGAAGTTAGCAAAAGTGATTTAAGAGGTAAAATAATTGCAGTGTAAAAGCATAACTGTAACACTTCAAAATGAGCAACTTATGTAAACTCAGCAAAAAAGACATACTTTTTAATGTTAAAATTGCTATCCAGATTTCTTTAGTATGCTCAAACCAAAAGTAAAAAAGACATAAGCACAGCATATGTTGCTGGATACACAAGGAAAATAGCTGAACATCCATACATGAGGCAGCAAAAGTTAACGGATGTAGACTTTTCTTGTACAGATTTTTTTTAAACTACTCTAACTTCAATGCTTACAATAATCTGAACATATCAAATAAAAAAGCTCACATACTCATCAACCTTTGATGGCAGGTAAGCATTCACACCATCTTCTGCCACCTCCACAAAACGGAGATTTCCTTCCTCAAAGTAGAAAACACACCTGAAACATTCCCAGCATGATTATTTTGCTATTTTTATACTGAATAATGCTAACTTTTCTGCAAGTGTTATTCTTATTTAAACACAACGATTAGGCAGGTTATGCTATGCTATCAGTGCCAAACATGGACACTTACATCCTCCAATGAACGTAAAATTGTGACAACTGAGATGACATGCCTTAGAAGAGCTGCAGGAGTTTCAAGGAAAGACAGAAAACAAAATCAAGAAATCAGACGAAAGCTAGGAGTAAAGCCAGTCTTACAAGTCATCAAAGAACAACAAATACAGTATAGTGGTTTGGACACCTAACGAGAATGTCCTGGTACTATCTGCCGCAGCGAGCCACACTAAAACGTTACAACGGGTATAGAGCGAGTGGAAGACCTCGGAAAATATGGAGTGATGGCATTAAAAACAGCCTTACAGAAATAAACATCAGTCTTAATAGTGCTCTTGACAGAGCTCATCAATGAACGTTACATCTCCCCCCGACACTTTGCTGAGGTACAAGGTGGAAGAGAAGAAGAAGAAGAAGAAGATTAGGTAGGTAGGCCACTGTTCCATTCCAGGATTGCTGTCTGTAGGATTAACATTTAACAGATAAGAATCAATCCCAGAAACCCTGTTCAGTCGTCAAACAGCTACACTAGGGCACCCCTATAATCTTCTTCTTCTTCTCATTGTAAACTCTGCGGCAAAGTTCTGATTGTTTGTAGAGCACTGGACTTTAGTCTTGTTCCAGAACCTGAGTGCTGCGTGCACATCCGTTTAACAGATTTGATTTAACTGTATGCAGATTGTTGGTTCCCTGCCTCTCAGGCAGATGCACTCCAACTATGAGGGAAGATTTGCTGAATGTTCACCCCGTGTGGATTTCGGGGCCCATTAAAGAAAGGTATGGGGGGGGGGGGGTGTAAACAAGGATGTCGCTGAAGGCGACTAATTAGGGATTATTCCTCTGAAGTCAGAAAGTGCAAGCAAAAATCAAGTTCTAAAATAAGACCAAAATCCAGAAATTGATGAACAACCAGAACTTTCCATCAGAGTTTATATCTGGTAAACATGAAAAAGAAGAAACTAGAATTTCTTTTACTTTACCCTGCATCTCCCAATGAGGAGCAGAGGTGCTGAACCACTGTGGTGGTGTTGACCAGGAGCAATGAGGTATCTACTTGACTTTCCAACAATGAACCAAAGGATCAGGATGTGGAGGGCTCGGGCATATCTCAAAATATGCGCTGATAAGAAACACCCACTGCATCTAGCGCTTTTTAGTGAAAAGGGCGACAGACTGAAGAGGGGGAAATTGTGGCTAGGTCGGGCAGAAGATGTTATTAGGCAAATATGCAGCCTAACCGACATCATACCTGGTGCAGAATGGATACCTGTGTCCCCCAGGCGTTTATTTGTACATTTTCATGTATTGTCACACTCAACAGGCGATGTAGAGAAGAGAATCCTGTTGCTGTTAATGCAGAGGTCAACGCTCTCATCGGTGAAAATTCTGACGAAGCAGATGCAATAATCTATACAGACGGATCCGTTGTGCGCCAAAGAAGAAGCGCATGGGCATTTACAGCACGCTCAGCGGGCAGAACAGTCAAAGAAGCCAACAGCGCCTTCTCCATGACAACCAGCAGCATGACGATGGAGGTGATGGCAGTGACGCAAGCGTTTGCCTGGCTTGAAACACAAAAATACACCCGTGTATGTATACTCAGTGATTCAATGAGTATGATCCGGAGGGTTCAGGCAGGTTCAGTGCGAAGACAATGGCTTGAATCATTACAGAAGTCCACTGTGCGTGGAGTCACCTTTATTTTTGTTCCGGGACACGCAGACTTCGATGGAAATGAAAAAGCTGACAGGTTGGCTGGATCCGCTATCACTACCGATGGTCAGCCTACGGATCATGCTGATATTATCAATGCCCTCAGAGAAATGGGAAGGATAGAGGACTTTGGTGGCAGTGAATCCACATCACTCGCCAAAATGGCAGACTTGGGAATTAAGATCGGCACAGCAAAAAACGAGACGCACACCAGACACGCCAGAAGACTTGTCAATCAACATAGAGCTGGTACTATTAGCCATCGGACGTTGGGGTTCATACTGAGGGGAGGATCTGAGCACCTATGGACATGTCCGGAGTGCAATGAGGATAACCCAACTAACTAACTAACTAACTAACTAACTGACCAGGGCTCATTCTGGTCACGACCTATCTACATCTATATGTGGTTATCTTAGAAACAGGATCCCAAGTGGAAGCCTGGCCAACAAAGAATGGATCAAGGTCTTCTTTGAAGTCTTCCTCTTCTTTGCATTCACTGGCTGTAAACACTGCCGGAAAGTTCTGGTTCTTTGTCCACCAGTCTAACAATTGTAAAGTGAATGCTATAATTGAAGGCAGCTGTCACATCTCTAAGGTGGATCCTGTACAGCCAAAGTGGACGCTATACATCTAAGGTGGATCTAATAGCTCTAAGCTGGATTTAATATTGCCAAGATGGATGCCAAAACTTGAGTTTTACCTGCACATCTGTTTTACAGATGTGGCTTATTTGTATGCATACTGTTTGTTTATCTCCAATCAAATGTTTGTTAGTGACAGGCCGTGGGTTTACTCTTTTTTCTCCAAAATGGAGCCCCAGAACCTCCACAGGGATCCTCTGAAGTCCAAGCACAACTGCCTGAGAGGCAAGCAACCAACAGTCTGAATACAAGCGAGCCAGATCTGTAAAATGGGTGTACACGCAACACTCAAGTTATAGTGTTACTATTTTTTTTTTTTTAGACCACAATGATGTACAGGTGGAAAGTACATCTTAAAAAAAAACTAAATGGAGGAAGCATATACATATACTATACTGATGTATTCAACAAATGCCAATAAACAGAAGCAATTCAACCCTGGATCTCAACAGCATCTGAATGTGTCTGTTACTTCTTTACAAATGCATTACAAAATATACATTGACTAAGATAACTTTAAGTATTGAAGATGTCTTGAAAGAAACTGACTCATGATGGAAATGGATAGCTAACATCAGAAAGAAACATGTCATGAAAAGAAGAATACTGGATTACATCGTGACAGTGGAACATTTGGAGAAGAAAAGATGCAGATGGAGCTGAGAGAGATGATGCTGGGCAGTTTGACATCATGGCACGGAAGATCATCTGTCTCCCCCCTGTGTGGGTTCCTGGGCAAACAACAGACCCACTGCCTGACCAGGAAGCATGTCGTAAGGGTCGACTAGCTGGGGGCTTCTGCAAAGTTAAAGTGCATCCGCCTGACAGGCAGAGAACCAACAGTCTGTATACAGGTAACTTAGATCTGTAAAATGGACGTGGACATAGCACTGAGATTCTGGATTAAGATTCAAGTCTAGAGATGGATGAACAACCATAACTTTCTGCCAGTTTACAGCTGGTGAACACGAAGAAGAAAAAAGAAGAATCTGTGTCAGAAATGACTGAAAGTACACAAGACAGAAGGTTGTGGATAGGCACAGCTTTCAACGCCACATGTCAAGGACTAGCAGAACAAGATTATATATATATATATATATATTCCCCTCCCCCTTTTCCAGAGGAGCTGTAATACATAGTGGTTAGTGCATGTACTTGTCAAAACAGTGGTTAAGGTTGAAATCCCAGCACAGGCAGGGTTACTTGTAAGTATGGCTCTGAAGATGACAGCATTAAAAGAAATGCATTCTAAGTAATGCAGAACTTTCTGGAAGATATTTGGAAGGAAAAGTTTCCATGAAATATATACTGTTCAACCCATTAGTCAGCAGGTCCTTTACAGAACATCACTCTCCTTATAGGAGACCTGAAAATATTTAGTTCTTTAGCCAATTCTCCAACCCTAAGTGCTTTCATAGCCATTGCATCTCCAATGTCTTGTATCCACATTCGCGAAGGTCTGTTTCTACCTCTTGTTCCAAGGAACTGTACCCTCCACCATCATTCTCTCCAGGCCACCAGGTTCCCCTCCACACCACCACATATGTTATGTCCTAGATTATGTAAAGCTCTAACACGTCACATTTAAACATCAGTATCTGGTAGGGAAATATCTTTTCTTTTACCCTTACCTTTTCCCAGAAGGGTCCTTGGTTATCAAAGGCGGTGTTGTCATTCCTGAACGACTTGGAGGTCTGAGCTGAGACAGACTGTCCACAGCTAATGTGAAACACTTTTGGTTCTTGTCTGCAGTCTGCAATAAGAACATTGATGTCAGTTATGCCTCAAACCAACTGGGCTACAAAAATATGAGGTTAGAACCACTTACCCAGGGAGCCATGGAAGTGTAGTTGCTAGATGCTCACTTGCTAGCCTGAAGGTCTTGGGTTTAAATCTGCATCAAAGTGAATTTAAAAAAAAACATTATGCTGGTTCTCAGGTCACCCCAGCCTAAAAGGGGTACCAGGTTATGTCCTGGGAAATAAAGGCGTCCTGATCTGATGTTAACTACATTGAGCATATGATGCTAGACTCATATTTTTAGGGACCAATCAGCAGTTGGTAGTTTATATGGTCAATATCATGCCAGCCACCTTTACTTCCCAGGACCTTACCTGGTACCTGTTTTAGGCAGGTCCAACCTTGGAGCCACAGTCAATTTAAAAAAAAAAAAGTCTGACTTGATCCTGATATGAACTATAGACCCTTGGGTTGACAGGCAAGCATCTAGCCACTACTCATCCACACCTCCAATAATGGCATGGAAGTGGGTCAATTGTTTTACTTGGAGAAGTTGTCGCATGACAGAATCCACACATCCACCGCAGTAGGTAGGTCCACAGTCTGAACACCCCCAAAATCGTCATCGTAACTATGAATTAGTATAGGCCGAGCATAGTTATATAGTTCGTTTGTAGTGGGGGGGACTAAATAAGAAAAATCCCTATAAACCACTATGATATTGACTCTTTTATGCTTTTAGTGTCGAATTACACGTTAGGACACATTTTCTACGCCTATTCTAAATAAATTGTCTGACCACTGCACTGCATTCGTGAGCGGGATTCGTACGCTAACTGCTGTAGTTAGGGAACGTGTTTGTATGCGTCACTTCTCTATGGTCCGGTCTTGGAGGCAGTCGCTTTCCTTGTGTGTTGCCGATTGACCGTTAAAAAGACAAGATTCTTTATTCTCTTTTCATTTATCATGGGTGAGTTTTCTTAGGGGCTTTTAATTGAATATTTGTGCTCAAAGTGTCTGTGATATGGGTAAGTAAGGTCAGCAGATTGATAATGCGAATCTGTTTGTCTACGATCCTTGCGATGGAAGACGGCGAAGGGAGCTCCGGATTGGAATGCACTTTCGGCCGACATTTCTCGGAGAATTCTTCGAAATGGCCTTCTAAACCTCTTCGGATCAATCAATCCATATATCTGGAGTGGGCTTATGGTACTGATAACTTTGTATGATTAGTTGTTTGCTGTTATTCGGTATCAGAACTTGGTAAGTCGCTGAACCGTTGTGAATGACAAGGAGCTTCTGGGCGGGCATGACGTCAAATCCGCTGTTGCTAGGAGACTTCGTAACCAAAACAAGCTTAGATTGTCGTACTATTTTCGGAGAATATTTCAGTCGATCTTAGTTTTGACTTTATCGTCTATCCCTTATCTTCCCTATTAGTGGAAAAGGTATTTTAGAAGGGACGGTAAATAATGGAGATCTGTCTAGTCTTCGCTACAGGACTGAATCCAGGAACTATTCGAGTTAATGGTCTAGTGCTCACTCTAAGAAACTAAATGGATTCCAAGATAGAGGTAACCAACCTTCATGGTTTGGAATAACCTCAAGTATATCTGAGCATTGGGAGGGGGTAAGGACTTTGATTAACTAGGTGCGTTGGATACGGTTCGCTTATGGGTGTTGCTTTGCGTTTTTCAGGATTTCTGAAGATCCAACAAGTGTCAGTGTCTAGCAGAGTGGTTCCATCTGCCACCACCCAATAAGCAATTGACGTGTGGTGAATTGCTGTGCTGAATGTGTGGACGATACTTGAGTCGACGTCTTCCGATCTCGAGTTGATTGTCCTTGATCAATGCCAGAGGCTGCTTCGTTCCTGTGAAGTCGTGTTGTGAAGCGCGGCCGTGGGAAACTCCATTTCGGCATCTTGAGAAGCTGCTTCGTTCCTGTGAAGTCGTGCTGTGAAGTACGACAGTGTGAAACTCCATTCCGGCATCCTGAGAAGCTGCTTCGTTCCTGTGAAGTCATGCTGTAAAGTACGACGGTGTGAAACTCCATTCCGGCATCCTGAGAAGCTGCTTCGTTCCTGTGAAGTCGTGCTGTGAAGTACGACAGTGTGAAACTCCATTCCGGCATCCTGAGAAGCTGCTTCGTTCCTGTGAAGTCATGCTGTAAAGTACGACGGTGTGAAACTCCATTCCGGCATCCTGAGAAGCTGCTTCGTTCCTGTGAAGTCATGCTGTAAAGTACGACGGTGTGAAACTCCATTCCGGCATCCTGGGGAGCTACGAGATCTAATCAGATAAGTCAAAGTAACAATCATAAAATGGCTCGACTCCAAATGGGCCTTTGTAATCAGTTCTCCACCTCCGCCATGATGATCCAGGAAGTTGATGTGTCTATGTAGAAAAACTCTTTCTCTAGTGTTAGATTTTCAAAAATTTGAATCTTACATTTGAATTCTTCACGCTACTTTTCGTCAACTTTATTATGGTGAATTCAATACATTAATATTGTAGTTCATCAGTCTTCTAGTTGGTAGAAAAGTTTCGTTTTATCGAAATTCATTGTCTTATTCAGAAAGGTAGTGTTGTCTTGTCAAATTCACTGTTGATTACTTGTTCGACTGGGTTTACATTGTACCAGTCTGGGGGCAACATAGTGGTGGGGACGTCTGGCCGAGAGGTACCCAAGTGTTCATAATAACCCTGTGGAGTCAGAGCTCGTGTCACCTCATCCCTGAGACAGGTTGAATGGAAAGTTTGAACCGAGGGTTAGGCCTCTAGACAAATGAGAGCCACCATTCAAAACACCCTTGTCTCAGAGCACCTGAGGGATTTGTGAAAATATTCCGTTAGTAAAGGTGCGCGACAAAACTGCCATACGACAAAGTGTTGCCACAGAATGACCTCCATTCGGACCATAGCAGGCTATTCATTACACACAGAAGTACACATTTTTAGGACTGTAAACAACCAGTGGATATAATCTTTTCTTCTCCTCCACCAGTTACTTTATCAAAATCATCCAAATGTTGGGAGAAAGATGTAGGGATTGTCTGTGTGTTCTTTGTAATATGATATGAGAATTTATTTTCTAGTTTGCTTAACTTGGTTTGCACACATAAATATCTCCTATATTTGTCTTAGGCTTCACTATGTTGACAGTTAAATCTTCAACCGTTTGCCGGATCTGCTGTGGATTCATTTTTGATGTCACACTTCTCCTCACAAACACTTATCTCACAACTACACATATTTTAGACATGTATATAATCACCTTCCCAAAATTGGCAACACTATTTCTGGGCCATTTTTCCAAAACCGATTCATCTGATCGGGCTTCCTTGGGACTTGAGACAAACCCACTGTTTTCAACTGAAGCTAAAAGCATCAAGACATTAAAAATCAGCAGTTATTAACAAGCTATTGAAGTTATCTTAAATGCATATTTAACACTTAATTATTCTTTGATTTATTTGTCATCCAACACATTATTATTACTTCAAGTTAAAAAATGGGCCCTTATCCACGCCTTCAGGTGTATTGGGCATATAGGGCTAGACCTATAATTTATAGACTAATCGGCACTTGGTGTGTGATGTGGTCAGTATCATAACGACCGACTTTACTTCCCAGGACTTACACTTGGTACCCACTTAAGGTTGGGTCAACCTGGCAGCCAAGGTCATTTCTGACCCGAACCCACGACCTTCGGATCCGCAGGTGAGCTTCACTAATATTATGATAAATAGCAAATAAATATTATACGATACTTCAAATAATATAAAATGTATAAACAAATACTTTTAAATATAATTTATATAAATTGTTAAAGGGGGCCTTTAATTCTTTAAGGGCCGAGCAACGCTGTGAGTGTTACTGAGAAGTTACGATTTGCCCAAACAACACTGTCAGCGTCGATCGTGTGACCCGTACATATTGCTTCGCACACGGCTCCCTATTTGTTTATAATGTTCTGAACTACCATTAAAGTATTCAGGGAGGGTTTGAATAAAATTCCGTGTTCCAAAACATGTGGGCAATTGATCTGATTCGCACATTGCATCTTCTAAGATCGTTTTCAAGCACCATGGATACCAATGTTCCCATCACAAGTACAAGCCGCAAAATGTGTCGTTCTGTGGCCGAATTTCATAAACTGTTCCCGTCGGATGGTTTCTGATAATGATAATTAAAAATTTAGATTTTTTCGGAAATTCGGACGGTGAATTTAACACCAGCATAGCTGAGCGATCGGCTGTTTGAGTATCTAGTGATTCTGATGAGTTTACACAGAGAATGTTCCATTGTTACCTTATTTAGGGTGTAAGAGAAGGAAAGTGCTCCAAAAAAAATAGACAGAACCATACCCCGGCATTACGAAGAGCATTTGCAATGCCTAAGCCACAGACGCCGATAATTATTTGTTTATTCATATTATTTCAGATATATTATTATGAATATTTGCTATTTAGAAGACAATGAAAAATAATTATTATTATTATAATTGTGCGATTAAATTATAAAAAAGCTTATTGAATAGGCAGCTCTTGATCAATTTTTAAAATTGACAATACAAACTGGACACTTGCAAACAAAAGTGTACGTACCATTCATTTTATCTATCCCTGTCAGTATAACTTTTCTATCTCTAGTTGTTGTCTGATGTCTCCTTTTGTCCTTAGCCAAATTTTTCTGAAGATCCTTCAATACTCGTTCTTCTGCATCACTGTCATCCCAGTGGGCTAGGAAATAAACCAAAAGCAATGACTATGCAAACATTGGTAGTTTATTTTTTATTTAAAATAAAAATTATAATAATAATTTGCATCAATATCATCTTTGTGCCAGGATATGCAGGTGTTCATAGGAACGAGCGTGCAGACTATCTTGTCGACACTGCAGTTGCTATGGCTGGCGCAGTACTGGGCAGACGTGATGTAATCAATGTCATGCGCTGCACTTACCGTACCGAGGGGCACACCAAAGGACATGACGCCATATCCCTGTCTAGACTGATGGACATGGGGGTGCAGCCTGGAGCTGCAAGAAATGAACATTTCACTAAGGGGACAAGACGTTTCCTTAACCAACACAGAACAGGCATCATCAGTCCTTTTACACTTGTGGAGCTTTTGAGGGGGAGATCGGAGCACCTATGGATCTGTCCGGAGTGCTGTGATGATAATCCTTTCTAATCACTAATCAATATAATTACAATACTTCTTCTTTTTTCACCCGTGAAAGGGCTGTTGGCACGCTGTATTGTGGTTTATAGCTAGGATGCGATATCTACACTTTTCAGTCGAACGCATTCGATTTCAGAAAAACCCTAACTAGTTAACTTTTATTCATCATTATCATGTAGCAGGTCCTTTGCAGAACGCGGCTCTCATCACAGTCTGCCTGAAAGAAACTCGGTCTCTCGCCAGCTCTCCCTCCTCATGTACTTTCATACTCAAGGAGTCACTTATATCCTGTGCCCATCTTCGTGTTGGTCAGCCCCTGTCCCTCCCCTCCTTCCTGGTACCATGTCTTCTGCTGTAATTTTTCCAATACCTCGTGACTATTGATCTGACCAAAATATTTCAGCTTCCTAACTTTTATTACATGATTAAATTATCGCTCTGGCACCCACAGGGGTACTAAATAATTAACAAAACAATAAATTATGAGACTTTATATATATATTTTTTTATTTTTTTTATTTATTTATATATATTTAATAACATATTTATAATATCTAGTGTTTATACTGAATATTTTGATGCTATTGCTGAGAAACCCTCACTTTATGGCCTGGAAAAGTCTTCCAGCTGCTTCTTTTCGAGTTGCCAAGTCTGACTTTATGCCTCCATTCTGGTTTATTACAATTTCAAGGTATCTGAACTGGCTGACCTGCTCTCATTATGATCTGATGTTTCTTCTCCTCTCTTGTGATCACCATGGTTTTCATTTCAAGATCATGATGGCTATCCCTCTCTTCTTGAGTTCTTCCTTCCAGACAAGTAGATTTGATTGAAGGTGTGTCTCTGATTTAGCAATAAGGGCCATAATGTCTGCAATTGCCAGTCCTGATATGCAGGTTGGTCTCACATTCCCATACCCTACTGAGTATTTCTTTGTCTTCTCCTTACAGGTCTAGATGACATCATCCATCAAAAGGGGGAAGAGGTAAGTTGAGAGGATATCTCTGTCTAACACATAACTTTATTAAAAACTACACTGGAGAATAAGGTCGGGAGCAAAAAATCAAGAGGTAGACAATACACATGGAACAACAAGAAATGGACCACTTTCAATCTGAGAGAGTGTACAATCAAGACAAGAGACAGAGCATGTTGGCGATCCATCGCAACCAACCTCTACTGTGGAGATGACACCTGACTGATTGACTGAAAAAAGAATATTTGCAATTTATTCACATTTCTTTTATTCATCCTCTGTTTATGCTTTAGAAAGCTTATGCTTCAGAAAGTAGTCTCGATCTGAACACAGTTACTCCTGATTTGGTAAAATAATTAATTTTATAATAAGTTGAGTTGAGTCAAGAATTGACATCACAGGACTCGGGTCATTCCCCTGCATGCTCCATCCTCATCTTCAGCAGCCAGCGCAGAGTTCCATTACTGATGGTACCGGTCACAATCTGGTTATATGTCCATCTTGAATAATAATCTTAACTGATGGAAGAAGAAACCATTGTTAAAAATACCTTGAGGGGAAGCAAAAGTTTCAGCTTCTGGCACGGTGTACAGTTTTCCTTTGGTCTCATAACCCCTTGGTGGAAGATCTGGTGGTGCATCACGTCCTACAGAGTAATCTGAGGAACAAGAGAAATTATTTTCCTTTAAAAAAATTTTTTTTTAATTAAAAAAATTAGAACACAATAAATTATTATACAAAAAAGGTCTTTGAAAAAAAGAAAATATCTCAGTGTTTTAAGACATTTGCCGTTCACGTGGGATGTCAAGTTAAAGATGAAAATGAAATAAAATAAGAATCAGTAAGTAATTTCCAGCAAAATTTTTATTAGCCTGTAATAGGATTTAGTTTTACAGCATGTACAAAGGGGATGAGGGACTGTCTTGATAAACAGGTGTTACTTGATAAATAGCTCTATCTTGATACAAGGACCAACTTGATGTACAGGACTTGGTTTGATATACAGAGCTAACTTTGATATACATGACTACCTTGATATCCAGGACTATCTTGCTATGCAGGATTACGCTGACATACAGGACTACCTTGAATTACACGGCCACCTTAATATACATGACTAACTTGACATATGGGGCTACCTTGATTTACAAGACCATCTTAATATAAAGGACTACCTTGATAAATGGCTGACTTTATATCTAGGACGTCTGATTCAAAGGACTAACTTGAATTACAAGACTATCTTGATATATAGGGCTAACTTGATGTACAGGACTAACCTAATGTACAATCCTAATTTAATGTACAGGGCTAACTTGATATACAGGACTACATTGATATGCAGGATTAACTTGATTTGATGTACTAACTTATGAAGAAAGGTTAAAGTTGAGAGGACTGACTTCATTGCACCTTTTACCCCAGATGATCTGACCTTTTCCACAGAATAGGGTCTCTGTTGAAACTGCACTCAGGAACTGAACCAGTTAGCCCTACTCCTTAGACACCCAAATATCTCCCTTCTAGCAAAACAGAAAATGAATTATAGCATCTTCATCCCTAATTTATGCTATCAATGCAAAACAAGGACAATGAATAGTGAACTAGAACAGAAAATTACATGTGAAATTTGCTGTCTCTGTAAGTTCACTAACAACACGAGAAGGGGCATGGTTACAAACACCAGCATTAGAGAGAAAGCTGGAAGAAGACCAAGTCTGGATAATACTGACAGACAAAGAATGAAATAATTTGGCCATCTAGTGAAAATGCAGCCAGACCAAACTACAAATGAGACTTTTTTACAGCAAAACATATGGGAGGAAGGAGAGGGGAAGACCAAGAAAGAGATGGAGACACAGTATAGCTGAAAAATGATAAATCCATCACCCAAGCTCTGAGTATAGGAGTTCTCACCCTAACATGAAATCATCTCTCCAAAGGTCCTGTACTTTCAAATGCCAAGGAAAGGCTAGGCAGGCTGCCTCCAACAGTTAGTAATTTTTAGGCTTCTAGAACTGCCAAAGATGATCTAAATCCTCGTATCTTCTTCTTTGTGTTTACCAGCTGTAAACTTTGATGGAAAATTCTAGTTGTTTATTCACCTCTGGACTTTAGTTTTGTTCCACAATCTAAGTGTTGTGTGCACATCTTTTTACATATCTGACTTATTTGTATGCAGACTGTTGGTTTCTGTCCTCTCAGGCAAATGCACTTTAATTTTTTTTTCATTGAATGGCATAATTGCATTCTTATAGAGATTTAGGTCTTTTGTTGCTGCCTCATAAATCCATAGAGTCAGTAATATGAGGGAAATAATATTCAGATCAAGGCAGCCATTAGGACCCAATGGAACACTTCCCATCCTGAAGACAATCCCAAAAGACCCAACCAACCTCCTCACATAAAAGATAATACCATTTTATTTAGACTGTTAACTAGACACAGACTCTGCAGCCATAGGTGCACGAAATTCATGATTGGGACTCAAAACTTTACCTACATGGACAGATACCACAAAATACTGCATATGCTACAGCTCTCTATATGCAGCAGAGAGATTCAAAGTTTGCTCTCTATATGCAGCAGAGAGATTTAAAGTTTGCTCTCCACATGCAGCAGAGAGATTCAAAGTTTGCTCTCTGCATGCAGTAGAGAGATTCAAAGTGCTATCCACATGCAGCAGAGAGATTCAAAGTTTGCTCTCCACATGCAGCAGAGAGATTCAAAGTGTGCTCTCTACATGCAGCAGAGAGATTCAAAGTGTGCTCTCTACACGCAGCAGAGAGATCCAAAGTGTGCTCTCTACATGCAGCAGAGAGATACAAAATGTGCTTTCTACATGCAGCAGAGAGATTCAAAGTGTGCTCTCTACATGCAGCAGAGAGATTTAAAGTGTGCTCTCTACACGCAGCAGAGAGATACAAAGTGTGCTCTCTACATGCAGCAGAGAGATTCAAAGTTTGCTCTCCACATGCAGCAGAGAGATTCAAAGTTTGTTCTCTACATGCAGCAGAGAGATTCAAAGTGTGCTCTCTACATGCAGCAGAGAGATTCAAAGTTTGCTCTCCACATGCAGCAGAGAGATTCAAAGTTTGCTCTCCACATGCAGGAGAGAGATTCAAAGTTTGCTCTCCACATGCAGTAGAGAGATTCAAAGTTTGCTCTCTACACGCAGCAGAGAGATACAAAGTGTGCTCTCTACATGCAGCAGAGAGATTCAAAGTTTGCTCTCCACATGCAGCAGGGAGATTCAAAGTTTGCTCTCTACACGCAGCAGAGAGATACAAAGTGTGCTCTCTACATGCAGCAGATAGATTCAAAGTTTGCTCTCCACATGCAGCAGGGAGATTCAAAGTTTGCTCTCTACATGCAGCAGAGAGATTCAAAGTGTGCTCTCTACATGCAGCAGAGAGATTCAAAGTTTGCTCTCCACATGCAGCAGAGAGATTCAAAGTTTGCTCTCCACATGCAGGAGAGAGATTCAAAGTTTGCTCTCCACATGCAGTAGAGAGATTCAAAGTTTGCTCTCTATATGCAGCAGAGAGATTCAAAGTTTGCTCTCCACATGCAGGAGAGAGATTCAAAGTTTGCTCTATATGCAGCAGAGAGATTCAAAGTTTGCTCTCCACATGCAGCAGAGAGATTCAAAGTTTGCTCTCTATATGCAGTAGAGAGATCCAAAGTTTGCTCTCCACATGCAGCAGAGAGATTCAAAGTTTGCTCTCTACATGCAGCAGAGAGATTCAAAGTTTGCTCTCCACATACAGCAGAGAGATTCAAAGTTTGGTCTCCACATGCAGCAGAGAGATTCAAAGTCTCCCCAGTTGACACTCTAGTGGAAACCAAGCTCTATCAGTGTTCAAACCACTATCTTTTTAGAGGCCTGGGGCCTTCTTATCTGAAATCACTCGCAGGGATAAGAAAAAGAAAGAAGAAGAAGCAGATGTTAAGAATGGTAGTAGGTTTAAATGTGTAAAGCTCAAGAACAACTAACTCCTAGGGATAATTTACTTTTCGATGTAAATAATTATGGTAATGGTTTACATGTGTAAAGATCAAGAACTCCTAGGTATAATTCACTTTTTGATGTAAATAATCAAGTCAATTACTTCTTAAACTGACACATAAAATTTCTCTGGCTTACCTGTTAAAGCATTTTGAAATGTTGTCATGTGTGGAGGTGGGGACATCATCTGTGATCCACCTTTTGTCTGTGATATTTCCCTGCGAAAACAGATTAGGTTCATTTACAATTATGCTCCATGAGCAGTGGACAGTTATGTGGTAATGATAATGATGAAAATCAAAAAGTATGAAATATAAACAGAACAGGTAAACTTATCAGATCAATCAGTAAAAAGACTGGTATGAAAGCTACCTAGCTCAGCAACTGAAGGACACAGTCTGAAACCTTCTTCTCGTCTTCTTCGCATTCACAGGCGGTAAACTGTGGTGGAAAGTTGTGATTGTTTGTCCAATTGTGGGCTTAGTCTTGTTTCAGAACTTTATACACATTTGGATTATTGATCTGGCTAATTTATATATAGATTCTTAGTTCCTCACCTCTCATGCAGATGCGCCTCTACTTGTAAAGAAAACACCCCCAATTAGTCTACATTTATGGCACACTTGTAAGGAGGCAGCAGGTCTACCCCTCCCCGATACAATGGGACCCTAGAACCAGCACTGGAAAGTCTGAAACCAAACTAAACCCCTTACCTGTGTGGGGCAGTGTGGGTGCAGGAGATACTGGGTTATAGATTAGTACAGTATTTACAGGGGTGGCAGATGAGTGCACCACCTGGCTATGGAGATCCATCATTAAAGAAATAAAATGGTCATTACTGCCTGTTTGTGGGAGCCTACAGATCCAAAGGACATGGGTTTAAATCGAACAGGAGCCTGACTTTAAAAAAATGACCTTGGCTTCCAGGTCAACCTGGGGAAGTGAAGGCGGCTGGTGTGATATTGACCATACAAACAACCGAGTGCTGAGTGGTCTATAAAAAATAAGTTTAGCACTGCATGCCCAATATATCTATGTGGGAAAGGGTCCTTTACTTTACTGCATGTTTCCAGTTTTTAGGGTAGTTAGAACATGGGGTTCTTCAGCTTCAAGAAACAAGGCCCCATGGTTAGTGCAGCTGCAATGGACTACTGTGCAGGTCAGAATTTGTTGCCCCATTATACAAAATCTGTCTCTTTACTGAGGAGTTAAATCTTTATGATCCAGCTACTTCTTTCATTAACTAACTGTTCTTGTTACTTCAGCTTCTCCAGTAGTTAACAGTTGATTGTTCAACCCACCACATATACTCCGGTCATCTGCTATGAGTTGTCTATCACATACAGTTAATTATAGTTAACTTCAAACAATGCAGACACAAACAATAAACTGCTGTCATTTTGCTGTATCTTGTCAGATGCTCTACAAGATTAGCTCAACATATAATTTTAAATTACTGATTGATTGGCATCTTTCCGTCTTCCATGAGGAGGCATGGGACTCACAGCCTATGGTCTTTCACAATTACAGCATGGAATTTCAGGTTCACTGCTGTTAACATTTGTTTACACTGTTTTCTCAGACGCTCAGCTCTCATCATTTCTGCAATCATTTCTTCTGTCATTCTCAGTCCTTTCCTGATGTGCCCCCTCCACACAACATTCTCCATGGCATTTTGCTCCCATGAGTCCACCTCAATACCTGTATCATTCATGTCTCGCTTGCACAAATCTTTATATAAACAGAACACAATATCTCTAGTCGCAGTGTACATCTCACCACTAAATATTCAAGAATAGCCATGTCATTACCACCGCAAATAATATTTACTGGGTTTTTCCTGAGCCAGACACACGTAAGTAACATTGGTTTGAGAAAAAATTTTGTATGTCATACAAAGATCAATTTACATAAACTACCATGTTTTTTCTTCTTTTCATTCGTCTGAGTGACGTAACTGAGCTGTGGCGGTTAATTGCAAAGCCGCAATATCTGCGCTTTTCAGCCAAAATACTGTGTCTGATTTACATAATATAAATGCATAGGCTAGGTAGTTTCTATACACTTCCATAACACAGATAAGTATAACAGGCTTCATAAATGCAGGCAACATCTGTCTTTACAGTTATGCAAATGTTCCTTAAGCAAGCATTTCGAGATAAGACATGTGATTACCACAGCAAATAATATTTAACTTTGTTGTTGTTGAGCCAGACACATGTAAATTATAAGAAACAATGGCTTGGGACAGAAGTGTTATATCATACACATGGACTTACACACACAAAAATGTGTTTGATTTACATATATAAAGACAAAGGTAGTCCCATAGCGTACGCTACATAATGTTGTGACACTGATTTTGACAGTGGTATTGAGAGACAAACATTTAGTAGGCGATAGCAAACTACTGAATGTAAAATTACCTAGTGTAGTGAAATCGCAAACAGCCCAAACAATTTTGGGACTGGTTCAGCAACGTCCTGTAAAGGATACGCAACTAACTTTTTCCCCCATAGCAACTACTGCCAATAGAGTGTAAACTGTTAGGCCTTCACATAATTTTGGGCACGACAGACAATGTTGGGTGGCCATTCCCTTCCCCGCCACCTTTCTTTCTTAGTTAATTCACAGTAATTTCTTAAAATTGTGGTACATTTTATGTGGCCGAGTTGATCTAGAGCAGCAACTAGCTGGGGAAAAAAATCATTCTACCCCTGCTGGGGTTTGAACACAAACCACTGTCGTAGGCAAAGCTTTTACCACTGTGCCACATTACCACTTTGTTTAATATAAACATTCATTTAAAAACTCCTGTACAAAGAGAGACGGAGAGACAGGAAAAGGGGGAGAGAGTCTGACATAGTGAGAGTGCTTGAGATAGAGAGCAGGGGAAAGAAAGACAGAAACAGAGAGGGAGAGAGAGAGAGAGAGAGAGAGAGAGAGAGAGAGAGAGAGAGAGAGAGAGGGAGAGGGAAATTTCTGCTGGGGATTAAATCTGAACCACTGTCTTGTAAGCAAGCGCACTAACCACTGTATCCTAATAGCACCTTATTTAATATAAAAAATTTAAAAAACATTCCATCTTTCTCTCTTCCACCCACCCACTCTTTCTCTCTCTCTCTCACATTCATACACACATGTGCAGACACACACACACACACACTGAGAGAGAGAGAGAGAGAGAGAGAGAGAGAGAGAGAGAGAGAGAGAGAGACAGACAGACAGACTTCTGTTGGCAACTGAACCTGAACCACTGTCTGGCAGGTAACTGCACTAGTCACTGTGCCACCACAGCCTATTATTTAATAAATATGGGTTTACACAGAGAGAAAAAGAGAGAGAGACTTCTGCTTGGGACTGAACCAGAGCGACTGTGCCACCATAGCAATTTACATAATATTCTTAAGAATATTCTTTTACAGAGACACTACTACTATAGCTATAATTACTCCTACGACTACTACTACTACTACTAAGCACTTTTTACTTAGAAATTATGCCTAAAAAAGGTTGACTAAAAAAAGGTGCCAGTACTGCATACTATTGCGTACCATTAGAAAAAAAGTCCTGGTGCTGCTAATGCTGCTACTGCTTCTACTACTAATGCTGCTGCTGCTGCTACTGCTACTGCTGCTACTACTACTACTACATGTTCTTATCATCTGTCTAATAACTATGCATACCTCTTTTTCTCTGTATCTTGACTGGCCATGTCATGAGTTCCTAACACCCCCTTCAATTACTGATCATATGAGCATATTTTAAATACATGACCCCTTCAGCATCAAGTATTAGCATTAGCTAAATTACCAGTACAATTAACACAACACTTAATCTGGTCAGGTGTATAATGTCTTTTACTGACTGATGGATGAATCTGCTTAATTGCTCTGCCTCAACATTGGCTACAGCTCCGCACAGCATAGAGAGTAAACTATTTGTTGACTTAACGGGCTAATGGGAAGATAATCCAGGGCTTGTGTGGTTAGAGCAACTAAAGGCTAAAGCACGGAATGGAGCCAGGAATAAATGCTTTTATGATGGGATGAAGCACAATAAGAGTCAATAACAAGATAGTGAAAAAGAGAGGAGTGGTTGAGCACACACGGTGCCTATTTTTCTACTAATGGCAGGAAAAGTCTCCCGGGAGAAGCAAAGGCAAACATTTTGTGATTTACTTGGCAGGGAGGGGGGAGGGAGGGGGGGGGGGTTGTCATGAGTGTTGAGTCATAATCATCGTCAGGGCTTCTTTTATCTAGAAATTTGCAATGGTCCACAGTACTGCCCCCCCCCCCCCCCCCCCACCCTTTTTAAGGCATTATTTTCTTGATGTAATGGATACACTGCTGTGAGTAGGAAAAGTAAAGTAAAGGACATTTTCCATGCCTTCAAACGTAATGGGTATATAGGGCTATACCTATATTTTAAAGACCAAACGGCACTTGGTGGGTGATGTGGTCAGCATCACACTAGCTGCCTTTACTTCCCAGTACTGTACTTGGTACCCTCTCAAGCCTGGGTCTAGATGGGGGCCAAGGTCATTGTTGTGAGTACGGGAACCTATTTTTTTTTAAAACACTCTGTGGTGAGTACCCAGCAACTTTTTCTTGAAAAAAAAAAAACATCCTGGTCAAACAAAATATTGATTTTAAAAGAAAAAAACAGTACTAAGTAGAATTGGCTAGATTCACAGTTATGCACATATGCTGAATTTCCACTGAGGAGAACAGACCTACACCCTACCCCCCTTCCCCCTTACAAGCATGTCACAGAAAGTGACTAATTAGGGAGGTTTCCTTCAAAGTCATAGTGCATATGCCTGAGAAGCCAGGAACCAACAGTCTGCATACAAATAAGGGAGATCTGTAAAATGGATGTGCATGCAAAGCTCAAGATCTGGGCAAAAACAAAGTCCAGAAGAGGACAAACAACCAGAACAGCCAGTAAACACTAAAAAAGAAAGAAGAAAACAAAATACTTATTCACATATATCTATATATACTTACTGACTTGCCACACTTTCTGGTGACCCACAATTCAATGTCCCATTTGAATTAGACTCCCTCATGCCTGTAAAAAAAAAAAAAAACCATACAACAAAATGTGTTAAAATACATGTCAGTTATGCATCACTGTATTCATTTCTAGGGAAATTTAACCACTGCTTTGCTTATTCATATCTTAAAGATAATCATACATAACTGCCTAATTGACAAAATCTCACAAAAGATGACACACAAAATTTAACCCTTTTTATCCCAGACAGACGTGGTTATCATCATCATGTGCTATGCAAGTAAGTATGTGCGGTCAAGTTACACCATCTTACACGATCACCTGAATAATAGATCAGTTCCAGTGTCTTGTCTTGCCCTGTCCGCATAACCAAGCCATCCAGGTAATTATCCTTCCCCTTGCTTTTTTTCTCCCATCAATCTTTGTCAGCTGCTGCGATGTGCTTTGAGTCCATTCCTGCTCCTAACACATTAGAAAAACAAATATCCTTATCCAATGCTGCTGTAACACCCAATTTATGAAACGGTTGGTTTTTTTTTTTTTCTGAAGCAACACATTTGTAAATCTAGAGAATTAAAATTACAAGGTAGTGGGGATGCAGTATTCCCCACATGGTTTCCAGGACCTCGCTGTGGAGAAAACAAACAGACCCACTGCTCTCCCCTCCCCTTCCCAAAAGCATGCTGTAAAAGGTGACTAATCAGGGGTGTCCTCCATGTGTGGGTTCTGGGGCCCTGTTATAGGGAAAACAAGAACAGACTTACTGCCTACCCTAAAGCATGTCGTAAGAGTCGACAAATTGGGAGCTTCGAAGTCAGAGTGCATCTGCTTGGCACACACAAATGAGTCAAAAGGATGCATGCCCAACACTCAGGTTCTGAAACCAGACTGCAGTCCAGAAGTGGACAAACAACCAGAACATTCCGGCAGAGTTTACAGCCGGTGAACGTGAAGAAGAAAAGGAAGAAGAAGAAAAAGAAAGGGTGTTTCCTTTGAAGCCAGAGTGCATCTGCTTGTGAGATAAGGAACCAACAGTCTGCATAAAATATGGCAAACCTGTAAAATGGGTGTGCATGCAAAATTAGACATTTCCGTGTTGATTCTGGAGCCCAATATGGGAAGGGGGGGTAGGGAGGTAGGGGTGGAGAACAAACTGTCCCCAAGATAAGCAGGCAGCTAATTATGGGTATTTCCTTTGAAGTCAGAGTGCATGTGCCTGAAAGATTGGGAACCAACAGTCTGCATACAAATAAGCCATATCCGTTAAACAAATCTGCACACACAAAACTCAAGATCTGGAACAAGACTACAGTACAGAGGCGTATGAACAACTAGAACTTTCTACCAGAGTTTACATCTGGTGAACGCGAAGAAGAGAAGAAAAAGGTCACAACAATAATCCTCTTCTAGCACTCTATAATGAACAACAACCCACCCTTATAACCATGTCTTGATCTGGGAGTGATTTTTCCATAATGATTATTCATGTCAATTTTGAAGGCAGGGACACCTGAAGCCTTTGCAGCTCCATTGTGTATAAGAGACTCTGCCACAGTGGTATCCCAGTCCGAACCAGAGTCGTCACTGTCTGGGCTATGAGCTGGTAGGCGATTCTACGGTGGAAAAATCAGAATGGGGAAGATTAGAAACAAATTATGCATTAAATGGGTATTCTGTGCGCGCACTTGCATGTGAATAAAAATGTGACTGCGTATACTTATCCCTGTGTGAGGACTCATTGCATGTGTGTAAGTATACATGTGTGAATATGATTGTCCTTATGTAAGTGTATTTTGTGTGTGGTTTTTCCCCCTCATTATTCAGTGAAAACTGCCATCAGGACTCCTTTGTTCAATGTTTTTTGGCACTAATCCATTCACAACGGAGGAATAATTATATAGGTATGAATGCCCCACAATCCCCACATATAATGTATGTACAATAAGAGGACTGTAATCCGAAGACGAAATTAATCACTACAAGTGAATATGTTTGCCTCTTCTAGCCTTTTCTTTAAGGAAAAACAAGTAGATATTCAAGGCCAACAATTTTTGTTTGTTGGTTTATTCAATGAATCAACATCATGGCATACGAGTGTAATCCATAAGTGCTCCGTTCTACTTCTAACACAAACCTGAGTCTGAAGAATCTCAGGGCAGTGCACGAACTCTATTGCACCGGCAAGGATCATGAAATACTCTTGGTCGATTCTTAATTCCAAATTTTGCCTGGGCAGCACTGTTAGGCTACTCTTTTCGTTTTCCAACTGCCAAGGGATTTTTTTTAATGCGCGCAACAATACACACAGGCGTCCGATCTTACTTCCCAGAGACCAGGGAAAATAACTAGAAGTCCACGTGAAAAAATCCCAGCCTTCACTGGGGCTTGAACCCGGGACCTCCAGCACTCAGGGTGACCACCATACCTCAAGTCCACTCAGCACACCCCCACCCCCCCCCCCACCTCCCTCGGAAAAAATGGAGCGATAGTTGTAATTTTATCAGATGCCCAGAGAAAACATGTGGGCTACCTATTTAATATTGTATGCAATACAAACAGATGAGTTTATAAATTATAAGTGCTAATTATAACAGATTATAAGTATACTTTTCTCATAGGTGTGATTGTGCTATGTACCTATGGGTATTTAAAAGAGTAATTTATTATTAGGGAAGCTGTGGAACATAGTGGCTAGATGCTCACCTGCTGGCCTGGAGGTCTTAGGTTCAAATTCACATTGGATGGATTTAAAAAAGAAAAATTACTGAACTTGCACCTTGGTCGACCCAGTCTAAAATGGGTATCACCCATGCTGTGTCCTGGGAGGTAAAGGTGGTCTGTGGGGATACTGACCACATCACCCATCAAGTACTGACTGATTATTACAAAATATGAGTCAATACCCTCATATGGCCAATGCACCACTGAGTATTCTAAAAACAAATTTTAGTTCTTGTGGTGTACTATTTATTCTTTCCCTACAGTTCTCTAGAGCCATCCTTATGCATACATTCAAAGTAATAAAGGAAAGCAAAGGAATTTTTTCCATGCCTTCTGGCGTATTGGGCATTTGGGATATACCTATATTTTTTAGACCAATCAGCACTCGATGGGTGATGTTGTCATCATCACGCTGGCTCCTCCGTGTGGATTCAGGGGCCCCCATTGTGGGGAAAACAAGAATAGACCCACTGCCTCCCCAAAAGCATGTCGTAAGAGTCGACTAATTGGGGAGCTTCCTTTGAAGTCGGAGTGCATCTGACTGAGAGGCAAGGAACCAACAGTCTGTATTCAAGAGAATGAGATCTGTAAAACTGATGCACAAGCAACACTCAGGTTCTGGAGCAGGACTGTAGTTCAGTAGTGGACGAGCAACCAGAACTTTCCGCCAGAGTGTACAGCTGGTGAACGCGAAAAAGAAGATCACGCTGGCTGCCTTAACTTCCCAGGACTTTACCGGTACCCAGTTAAGGCTGGGAGCCAAGATCATGTTGTTCTTTTAAAGTCCAGTTCCTGAACTCACCACCTTCAGATCCTCAGGCGAGCATCTATCCACTACACCATAGCAGTTCCCACGCTTACATTTAGCAGTACATAAATTAAATAAATAAAGGAAAAACAGGTATGTAGTCTTCAGATACTTACCATCCTGTCACAGCTACTGACAGTTTTTCCACCCTGCACACTCGATGGTTACCTTCACCAATGAATATGATCATGCATGCTGTACCAATCAGTTGATTAACAGGATGTGGCACTCTGTGTCAATAAAACAACACCAGTGATGCCAGAACAATATTTTATTGATTATTCTTAGCATCCATTTATGAGGACTGGGAATTAAGCATGAGCAAATATTGGTCTATTTTAACGTGCTGCTCTGTAGACAATGGACATAATTATAATAAATAATATTGAATACTTGATACAGGAAGCCATGACAGTTTAGAGGATAGATAGTATAAGATAGATGCTTGCTTGTTGCTCATGGTCTTGTGTTCTACTTTTTTTTTCGCATTCACCGGCCGTAAACTCCGGCAGAAAGTTCTGGTTTTCCCCCAGCTTGTGGTTCCAGAACCTGAGTTTTGTGTACATGTCAGTTTCTGCCTTTTTTTTTTTTTTTACGTAGTATATACCTCTCATATATATTTACTCTGATTTAGATTAGAAGGGAAAAAATCTATAATTAATAATGTTGGTGGGGGGGGGGGGGCAGCATACGAGTGATCGTAGGCTGAACAGGGTTTCGTCTCAACTACTAAAACTAAACCTTCTAATAGCAACTATAAGAAGGAAAAAAAAATTAACTAATACACATTTGTTACAGTGAAGAGGGTTGTCTGGTTTCTGCTAGCAAACTTGGATCTGCATTTTGAAGTTCCGGATCTACAAACTATGTCATATTGCCAGATTTATTACAGATTTGAAGCTAAATATATTCTTTCTTTTTTTCTGTCACTTCTTCTTCTAAGCGTACGCTTATTATAATACTATATATACATCTATATATATATATATATATATATATATATATATATATATATATATATATGTATATATATATGTATATATAAGCGTACGCTTATATATATATATATATATATATATATATATATATATATATATATATATATATATATATATATATATATAATGATTCTCAAGGGCTCGGGGGGGGGGGGGGGGGGGCTGAAGAAGATATATATATATATATATATATATATATATATATATATATATATATATATATATATATATATATATATATATATATATATATATATATCTTCTTCAGCTCTCCGAGCCCTTAAGGTTCGTTGCAGATATACCCGCCTCGATTAATTTATCTGGTCGGCCGTCTCTTTCCAGATGGTGACACCAAGTGTTTGATTCTATAGCGCATGTCATCATCATCATCATCATCATAAACCACTTCTGCCGTTAAGCGCCGTGGGGAGGAATAATTTGCGATCTAGTGCACGTTGGCTGCCACTGGCTATTGTCATGCCGTGAAGGCGTAGAGTGTCTTTAATGTTGTCGATCCATATTTTCCGCGGCCGTCCTCTTGCTCTTGTAGTTGATCTTCTGAGATGTAGTGCTTGTGATGGTATTTGATCTTGTTGCATTCTAACGAGATGGCCAAACCACTTGATCTGCTGTTTCTCGATGAATCTAGTACAAGGTGTCGTTCCCACAATTTGCCTGATTGTTTCATTATTCACTTGATCTCGTATAGTTAGGTTGGCTGCTTTTCTCAGGCACCTCATCTCGCATGTGGTAATTTTGCGTATATGGGCTTTAGATAGTGTCCATGTTTGGCACTGGTAGCTTAATGTTGGAATAAATACGCTATTAATAATCTGTCTCTTTGCACTCATAGTTATGCTTGGATGTCTTCTTCTTCTTCTTCTTCTTCTTCTTCTTCTTCTTCTTCTTCTTCTTCTTCTTCTTCTTCTTCTTCTTCTTCTTCTTCTTCTTCTTCTTCTTCTTAATCTACTTCTTCTTCTTCTTCTTCTTCTTCTTCTTCTTCTTCTTCTTCTTCTTCTTCTTCTTCTTCTTCTTCTTCTTCTTCTTCTTCTTCTTCTTCTTCTTCTTCTTCTTCTTCTTCTTCTTCTTCTTCTTCTTCTTCTTCTTCTTCTTCTTCTTCTTCTTCTGTTCTTCTGCGTTCGACATTAGTCATGCTACACATTGAGTCCTGTCTGGGTCAAAAAAAGGATTGTGCGTTTAAGGTCGCCACCGGTCCCCCATAGCTTCTCTCGCAATGTGGATCCCCTGGGCCAGATCCACAGTCTTTGCTGGGAGAGGTAAGGGCAGTACTGCAGTATGTGCTCAGGGGTCTGTCTTTCTGCTCCACAATCACAGGCAGCAGATTCTTTTATGCCTATCCTGTACAGGTGTGCTCGAAGACCACAGTGTCCAGTCCGAAGTCTAAAAATCGATGTTTGTTCTTTCCTGTTGAGTTTGTTTATGCTGTCACTCTCTGGTCTGTAATCTCTATTCTGCTTTCTCCACTCCCGCTTGAAAGACTGCTTTAGTGCTGTTTTGGTTTCCTTGTAGGTGTGTGGTGGATGGGGTTGTGGAAGATTACTCCCAGCTTTTGCCAACTCATCTGCTTTCTCATTTCCTTGAATACCACAGTGGGCTGGTATCCACTGCAAGACCAGTTCTGCTTCCTTGGAGAGTAAGCCAATGTTGGTCCTTAGATCTGCAATTAGTTTGTCTTGTTTTTTGCTTGATAGTGCTTGGAGAACAGACAATGAGTCACTAAGTATAACAATTTTGTACCCTCTGTGTTCTTGAGTGATCTGTCAATTCTATCATCTTCTGTGATCATACTTCATAGTTATTTAAACTCCCTAACTTGACACGGGCTGAACCATTTAACCTGTTAATGTGGTCTTTCAGTCAATGTCCTCCCTTTTGCACTTCGAAGCAGTTCAATGTTTCACCAGCTGCTCTGATGGCTGCTTATTGTTGATTATATAAATGTTCAATTAAATGCACCAAATGCGTTGGAAACCCCATAATTCTCATAATCCTGTACAATGTCTGATGTTGGACACAGTCAAGTGCTTTGCTATAATCATTGAAACAAGCATGAAGATCTACTTTGTATTTTCTACATTTTCTGGCTGGGACTCACTAGCAGCAGCTACCGCATCTCCTGCAGCTTCCTTTATTTTATTTGCTCGTGAGTCCCAGCCATCTAGTTTAGCCCCAAACCACGCCGCGCGTAGTGGCGGAATTGTTCTCGGCAGTGTTGCCACTTATATTTGATTTAAAAAAACATCAAAAAGGGAGATAAAAAAATGTTTAAAAATATCTAGATTTGCGTGG